TTTTTTCTCCCCACCCCCATTTTATATACAGGCTTTAATAAAAAGGTACATTGGCGACAATGTCGGATTTATTCCGCCTTTTTACATATTTTTCACTTATTGGTTGTTTCAGCCCACTTACAAATGAGTACTTAAAAACGAAAGCAAGCAGCTCCCTGCTGTTTTTGGATTTACAGCACAGCTACGTTAGTCCTGGTTATTTTTACATTTGAAATTAATTTGACAGAAATAGATACCGTCCAAACCCTTACTGCAATCCTATCAATCAACAAATACACCGCTATCTATGTAACAACCTTCCATTTGAAAAAAATCCTCCAAGATTCGGAGAGTACCTTTACATATTTTATAATGTATGCCAGTGTACAAACTATGTGTTCTTGTATATAGTGTGTGGAGGGTGGGGTGAAGGTAAATAGCGTAGTAGCATATTCACAATATTCATGCACACTGAAAACAACACACACGAACACAGAGTTTTAATGTATATTTTGTGTATATTGAAAATAAGTGTATTTCTGCACACATACATACGCACTAATGCAAGTGACTACAATTTTGACTTGAGTGTACTTTTGCACTCCAGGTTTGAATGGATTTCTACTTGCCCTAACCAGATGTTATGTATACTCACTAAAAGATACGAGTAATGTGTTTTAAACAAACAACATGGTATATAGTCACACATAAGAAAGTGTTCTCAGAATCACACACAAATACATTTGCAACCTATTTGGACCCTAAACATCTAATTACATGCAAGTAAATAACCGCATTTTTTGCCAAAGAAATGTTTTCATAAACAAAATATTTATAAGCACTAAAATCTGCGCAAAGTATAACTCCACAGTATATTGTCATGCAGTATATTACACATGCAGTACAAACACATATCCAAGCACTATATATGCAAATGTCCTGGCCGTTTATTGGGTAATGCATAACAGAGTTATGAGGGAGAAACTATTTAGCTAGCTCGGTTTTGTGGAAAAAACGTAATTCTGTATCCCGCTGGTTTAATATCCGACCTCAACATTCAATCCCCGCCCAGGCAGCTATCAAAAGTGCCCCTGGGATGTTTGGGTATCATCTCCAAACTAACAGCTGTGATTATGAAATGCTCAGAAGAGGAAGGTTAATAACAATTTGTTACAAAGGAGCACAACTCAATTTTATAAACAAATGTACATTGACTTAAAAAACAAACAAACAAAGTTGCATTTAGCAGCTATGAGATAAGGGGCTGCTGCTGGGACACGTTTTCTTAATTCCTGTCAGAGCAGAATTTATGGATCATTGTCATAATAATCATCACCTTAAATAAGCAACACAGGAAGAGTTCAAGGAATAAGAGAATGAAGTCTTAGCCAGTTCTGTGAAGGAAACAAAATATCTTTCCCCGTTGTTTTACATCGTTATTGTTGTTTGTTTAATAATCTTAAATCTTTCATGAGACCAATGCTGCCAGGATTTAAAAACACACACACACACACACACACACACACACACACACACACACACACACACACACACACACTTCTTGTCGGG